AATTAAAAGTGTAATATTTTTTAAATGAAAGGTAAACAACGTTTGCATATTGATCTTGAATTTTAACATCGCATTCACATTGTTAGTAAGCACATATTTTTTGTTTAGCCTTCATTGATTGCGGCTAAAAAACACATTTAATCACCCACCGTCACTTAAGCGTCCCTCAGTAAAACAAGGGGGTGGGGGGGGGGTGTATAAACTCATTAAAATAAAAGGTGGATGATTGAAGGTGGTGAAATAGGGCAGAACTTTGTGAGTTGTATACATTGAGGTCTTTAATTAGATTGCCACCTTTGGTTGAGCGGGACGGTTAATTTAAACCTAAAATGATCAGTCGCTTTCCTGCCTGAGTTGTCGATGGCTAATGAGCTGCTTTGTTATTTTGTGTTGCTTGGGCCGTAGTAGCTTCTTGGTTGATTTCTGTCTGTCTATTAGTACAAGCGGCTCTCTCTCTATGTGTTGGCATGTTTCCAATCCCTCCTAATCACGTAATAAGATGGACTCATCAGCCTGAAACAAAAAAAAACATCAGACCTCTGAGACGTTGCTGAAGAAGAAGTCCATGCCAGGATATGGGGGAAGCAGCGTTATTTTCAGCTTTGCTAAAATAAAAAATAGACCCTTGAGGTGATCACAGTTTCCAGATTCAAATTTAATTTAATCTGAACCTTGCTAAAGGGGAGGGTTGGTTATCTTCTCCAAGAACATTCCTTATGGAAAAAGAATACAGCTTTATTTGTTATTCCTTCTTTCAGTGAGACTACTATTAGTTCCACCAATTATGACCGGTATGCTATGTCTACATCCATAATGTTGACTTTTCAGAGACTTTTAGTTTAGTACTGCTTGCAACTTTCGTTGGAAAAGATTTCACGGCACTGGGCTGGGTTCTTGTGTTACTTTAATCTAGCGTGCTCCTACTAGTTTTTTCACAATTACCGACGCTCTGCCCATCTCCTCACTTCACCTGCGAGTAAACACCGGAAACTCCGTCATCACATTTGTCGCATGTTGTGTTTGTTAACACCGTTAGCTGTGAGCCACAAACTCAAAGTCATCGTTGGGAGGCATCCAAGTGCTCCTAACCCTCTATCTTGCAAATATGCGCCTGGAACTGGAAAATGCTTTAAATTAACTGTCACTTCTGCAAATGCACGATCTCACTTGTGCATTCCTTCACATTGTACAAGATTTAGAATGAGGATAGATAGAGGGTATGATGTGATAATGGCATCCTTTGCTCACGCGAATGTTTGACTTTGATATCGGAGATGAATCATTTTTGCTCAATGATAAAAAGGGCCACATACTTGCCAGGCGATTGATGTCATTTGAACAAAAAGTTGATTTCTTGATGTATTGATAAAGGTAAAATGTTATAATGCAATAATATCGAGTAAAACACAAGAAAAAGAAGGTTACTGTATTGAACAATACATTAAACGCAGTACGAGTTATTGAACTAAAGGTAATCAGACCATCGAGAACACACGCGTTAACTCATTCATATGAGCGCCATGCTAAATCCCTCGACTGTAACCATATCGCTTTGTTTGATCAAAGGCCAAGTCCCTCTGAACTATTTCCCCCTCTTTCCTTATCAGATGGCTTTTCCCCCATTCAAAGCCCACAAGGAAATTATGAGGGGAAATTACCATTAATTACCGTGTACAGTGGCTGAATTCAGTTCATTTGATCAGCATTTAGCACGTGGTCTAATGGAAAGAGAGATGCAGCCGTTGAATTAATAGAGAAGCCGGCAGATCTTTCAAAAGGATAATGAGTTTTTTACCCTTGGCTGCCTCTCCTTCCAGAGACAAGCTTCTGTATCACAAAAAGCATCTCTTGCTCAATAAGGCAATGCAAGCCTCTGTTTGGACCATCGTTATCTGTTCCACAAAGGGCTCCCTTACCAATTTTCACACAGGGCAGGACCCTTGACACAAGTTATGGTTCAAGTGCTTTAATTCTGACTTACATTTAACAGCAAGTCTTCTTTCCATTCCAAAACACATACCTCACAGACCTTCCTGCCCTTTTTGATTTGTCTCCTCTGGATGAATGAGCAGAGAGAAGAATGGGAACCTGCAGTAAGTGAAGTGGTTAAATTGTAATGTCTTAATGTATGACGGCCCAAACAACTGAAAACAACCCCTGAGAATCTCTTTCTATCTCCATCCCGCTTCATAAGAAAAGCTTACGTGTAGCTTTTAAAAACTCTGTCCAACCAAACGTTGTTCTTTAGTTCTCGTTTTAAGCTGTAAACACAACATCGATAGCGTCACTTTTAAGTTGGTCTTAACTTATTCTCTGTTACTATGTGTTTTGATAGGTAGCGTTCAGCAGGATTGTAGAATTGAGCATATAGGGCTGATAAGATCAGTGAGAGGGAACCATAACAGTGAAGCTGTGGGCCAGAAAATCTTGCGCTGAAAGACAGCGCTTCTTAGAGCCGAAGGGGAGCGCGGCATCGATCAATAATCCCATTGGGGTTAGTCACTTCTGGCGATCCCTTTCATTTGCAATAAAAGAAGTTTAGTCATTTGATCCATTATTCATATAAATATATTGATTTGAGCAACCATTGTCCAAGGATGGTACATATGTTTTGGTGTAAGCTCCGATTACACATCACAGAGGTCCAACAACTAAGTAGATCTTGACAAGAAATCATGGTGAAACCACTCATTTAAAACATTCATCTTAATCGCGTGGTTTTCCTCTTGATTTGAAGGACAGAGAAATGTCTAGAGAACTCCAAGATGAATATTCATGAATCTAAGTTTTATAATTCGGTTTTCTTGTAAAGCATTACGTGCCTGTACACGATCAACAGTGGTTCTATTACCTGCATAATGAAATTTATGTGTTTCCTTTGTTCACTGCTTTTCAGTGCAGCTGTGACAGGTGGAACCACAGACAAACTCTCTCTGCTAAAAGAATTTCAATTCATATCAGATATCGGCTCCCCCCAATGAGATCGGACACTGGGATATGTCTCATTTTTATCAGCTAGAACTAAATGCTGTTCATTCAAATGTGTTATAAGCAGGCGAAAGGTCAATACTGTGTGTACTCTGATATGAATAGGCTTCAAGTTACAAGACTGTAGTCTGCATATTTTCCATTTTAATCTACAGCACATTTATCTTTGAGCTAAGTTGTTGCATTTATTTGTGGCTTATTAATGTCACATTATTTTCATAAGGTTACTTGAGCTTTTGCAGTAAAATATGCAGTGTATTTATCAGGACCTTTGTAGTAACCCCATGTAATTTATACATCTTTTTGTTTCCATCCTTCGTTTCATATAAATGCCGGTTGTTGTGAGATGCAGTCCAGATATATCATAGAGTTGTTGATTTTGACATTTCAGTATTACATTTCCGTAATGGCAAGGCCCTCAGTGATCTCGGCAATAGCGTTGCCTTCTTGTAGCTAAGATGCAAATTGCACATACAGATCGATGCATTGTTGTGGTCATCACATCTTCACGGAATATTATTATTAGAATTAAGTAATTATGTCATTCCATGTTTATCTTGTTTATCAACACAGTGAACAGACACTGCTGCTTGATTGGCCTTAAGCAGAATTTTACATCTAAGAACTATAGACATACAGATATTGACTATATATTTCTGAGATTATGTTTCTGTCTTCAGGATCCTACTTACACTCTTTATCTGCAGCAGTGTAATCACACCACCAAGCAATAAAAATTAGTGAGCGCACCATATTTGATATTAACTAAACAGTAATTACGGATTTTATCTTTGTCAATGTGAAACGTTGTATTTAGTTGTTTTGGAGTTTGCAAATACACCTTTTCCAGTTCTGTAATGTTTTGTGACTGTGACTGTGACTGGATCTTGCATTGGGGTTAATTCCACAGAGGGGGTCTCCAGGACAACATGTTGCCATCGTGCCTTTCCCAAACACAAACATAAGAACACACACAAAAGAATATTACAGTTATGTCGCGATTCAAATATTCTCTCTTTCTAATAAATGCTTAAAAAGGTATTTGTTGAAATATGTCTAGCGTAAGATCACAAAATACCACAGCATTCATAACATATATACCATAAATAAATGTGAGTGTCTTATATTATTGCCAGTCTAACTAGAAAGTAAATACAAATCTACAAAGACTGTTATCAAGCCTCATGAAATGGTCTAAATCCTTTTTGAGTTAAGAAGGAATGGAATTACATAGAGTTCATTATCTACGTCCAGTCTATTTATAATTGCCTTAGCTAAGCAGAAAAGACGATCAGCATTCTCTCGTAATCACACGACAATACAACCGATTCTTTATTTCACGCAGAATGTACATGAATCATCGCTCACTATTTCGTGTTCTCTCATCATTCATAAATGCTTCAGTGGCAGATTGATTTCACTCTATAGACCCAAGCGGCGTAGAATCTCTTTGCAGTGTCTGGAGTCCCTCGGCGGTCTCTGTGAAAAATAAACAACTGATATATGTTTCAGTCCTTTTGCTGCAGTAAACAGTATGTTAAGAATGTTTATTTCTGCTGTGCTCTTGAAAATATCGGTGTGTCATGAATGTATTTTGTTGCAGCGCTCCTCAGATTTTAAAGCGATGGGCTTCCATCATACTGACTAGAAATATACATTAAATGGCACTCACCCTTTTTGAACAAAAAGTGCATTCGACCCACTAAAAGCTGTTAGATTTGGATTAATAATAATTCATGCAGTAAGCACTCTAGATTAGCGCGGAGCAGTGTGCGCAAAATGTCAAGTATTAGTACTAATAAATCCATATGCAGCTTTCAGCAGAAAGAACTTTTTTGTAGATCTAAAAGACAACAAAAACTGTTCAACTCCAAGGTACATTCTCCGATTGAACGATCAAGGGACACATTGGCAACCTTCCTTCTCGTAAAGTCAATGTGTTTGAAGTCAATGAATTTGTATTCCTGTCGACCTCACCAAACATGGCTCTTTTTATCTTCCCTTATCCTCAGCTGCCATCCTTGATGACCCTATGGAGTGCAGCAGAGGCGAGCGTTTGGCCATAACGCTGGCCAAAAACAACATCAACAGGAGCACCAACCGTTCCACCACGGGCAAGCTGGAGGTGGACATCTTTGAATTGCTAAAAGACAGTGAATATGAGATGGTAGAAACAAGTAAGTAACACAGGGGAGAAATGACACTCAATTTGTTTGGGTCCATTCGTCAATATATTTAATTATATATATATATATATATATGCATGTGTTGGGTGAGAGAAAAAAAAACAGAGGAAGTGGCTCTCCTTTTAAAGTCAACAAGCCTGTCATTTCAATTCAACCCAACTGGCTTCTTTTCACACTTCCCATAAGTGCACATAAGCCTGATTGGTTTGACAACTTGTTTGGTCAAACGTACGCAACGACAAAAATAGATGAGAGAATGTTGTGGTGCAGCTACGCAAAATGAGCTATCATTTCGTTATGTTTGTCTACTGGGTTGTATTTTCTTCTCTCTGTATACTGGCATTTTTCCACTTTGCTGTATCAAAGCAAATAAAAAGCAATGTATTCTTTATAAATGAGTGTAATTTAAAATGACTTAATCTGCAATATGTCAAAACAGATGACCTTCAAAAGAGAGGTTTTTAAGAGGGCCATTACACAAAGAGGATTCCAGTCATTTGTCACACAGATGTGACAAATGCTTCACTCAGGGTGGCTCTATTAACACAAACCGCAGAATGCTTTGTATTTGTTATAAACTGTATCAGTGCTTCCACTTCACTGCTACCCAGAACATTATTGTACTACGTGGAGACTGGTTTCCTCACACTGTGCGCTCTTTTGGTTTGTTTTTTTATTAAAAAACTATCCAAAATCAATACACATTAGCATTTGTCTACAGAAATTATACAAACTGCTATGACAAAATGAGGGAATGAGAATGATTTTCAACACTGCACATTCCCGTCTTTGCTAACCCACCAGCCTCACTTAATCGGTGGGAACGCCGCTTCACTCTCCACAACAACTGTATTTGTTGCTCTGCTTGGTTTCTTTAAACCTCCCTAAATGTGGTCCCTGTGTGTGTGGTCGTGTGTGTGTGTGTGTGTGTGTGTTTGTTTCTCTGAGTGTTTGAAAAGTATGAGCTTGGGTGTACATGCTGGATTGTGGGTACATTGTGGAATTGTTTGTGTGTGTAATTAGAGGCAGGAATTGGATTAGGGAAGGATCAGTGGCCGCCGTCAGTGACATGGAAATATCACACGGGGGCCGCTACTTGCCCAGAGAGTCCCTCCCCCACCTTTCAAGCACCCACTCCAGCCCGTGCGAGTGCGGTAGGCAGCTCCTAATTGGATGACCCCTTAAAATGATTGCTGCTTTTACTGGCAGGAAAGTGGACGTGACCAGACTTCTTTCCCTGTTGTGGGTAGTTTATGAAGCCACTTTGCACACGGCCATGTTTGCTTTAGGGCTTTCGCTTTGGTGCTTCCTTAGAATGCTGATGGCCAAATCTTTGCCATTAAGATCTGAAAGGAATTGTCTATAAAACAGCTTGTGTCAAACATTGTGTCGTAAGTTACTTGCCGCACTTTCAGTAAATTCTGCACGTGTTGTTAAATTGGTGCAGATGTTCCTTCATACGCTTGTGTTATATTTGCAGAGCATTGAGCTCTCTGGGCACCCGTACCTTTGTTATCTTGTGAGCACCAAGCCTGTCATCAAGTCAAACTCATTACAGCCATACGGATCCAATAGCTGATATTGATCTGTGGAGATCAATGCCCAGCTGAGAAAACGGATTCCAGCCAACCCTCTGACCCTTAATTTGACAACGGCGAGGGGCACATTACCACTCTGACAAACATCAGTGTCCAGAGAGGGAACGAGCTAAACGTCGGCGAGCTGACTTTGCGTGCACATTCTCTCACACGTGCACATGCGGTAACTGTGCAGAAGAAGGAGCAAATCAAAGTGTCACAAGAGCCAGGAGCATGTTGGCTGGCATTCAAATCATTCAGCTTTATAATTTGGTGAAGCCATTCAGGCGGTTACAAATGTGTTGGCGTGTGTGAGCATGTACTGTAAATGTGTGTGTGTGTGTGTGTGTGTGTGTGTGTGTGTGTGTGTGGTTGTTTGTGTAAGGTGTCAATGTGTTCATGTCTTACAGGCCCCACGGGTGACTAAGGGATTACTTATTAATCATTCGACTCACTGGCTCCCTGAATTCACCGTATAAACCCCTGCCCCCCCCCTCCCCGCGCCTTTTTCACCAACGCAGACGGTTAATGTTCTGCTTTTGCCCCAATAACCCACACCAAATTTTAATAACGCATACCCGCTTTCTGCAAACATGCTCACATGTGAGGAGTAGTGCCGGTAATAACGTCTCACATCACATGATTCCACTGTAGTGGTTTCATTTGAAGTGGGGGAATTTGAATTCACGAAAAGTGTCATTCTGATTTCCAGCATGGGGGAATCGATCCATATATTCCCAGCGTTGATCCGAGCGAAGTACGATTCACATTCCCTGAAATACCTCAGTGTATGTTGAGCTACCAAAAGTAAAAACTTTTAAATAAGCCCTTGTAAATTTAGAATGTGAAAAACAAGATGAGATGCGTTTGTCTCTTTAAGGGATTTTATGGCATTCATGTGTAAATGTTTTAAGCCTCCAGATATTGCTGTCTGTCACTATTTTTGTCTCTGCCTTCCTCACTTCCGTCACTCTGTTTATCCACATTTTCCTGTCTATGTGACAGTCTTTTATATGAATATCAGTTCATCCCACAAACTTTTATACAATAATCTATTGGATTTTTCTCTATGTGCATCACGCACGCTGCATTAAACATGGATGAATGCATTTGGCATTGTGCAGATTTTGTTTAAGCGCATGTACCGTCGGTTTAGGTTCCCTCGAGGCAGAAGAAGTGTTGGCTCATGTGTTTTTTTAGGGGTTGAAATAGTCAGCCTGTGCATCCAATAACATCTGCCTGAAGAGGGACTTTTTTTAAATTTCTTTAAATAATATCAAGGAAATTATTTTCCTCGATAGCACTGGCCGACTGGCTTACTTGTTTCTTTTCCCTTCTCAATCCTTGTTTCTCCCACCTTCCCCTCTCTGTCTTCTATCAGTGTGCCAGATCATGTTGAAAGGCGTCGTGGCGGTCCTCGGCCCCTCTGCCAGTCCGGCTTCCAACTCCATCATCAGCGATATTTGTGGAGAGAAGGAGGTGAGTTCACACGCCCAACTGGCCTGCAGCCATTGTTATTCACAGTGCAACCAGAGGTAGAGTTTCAAAACATGATGTTCATTAGTGACATTAGTGTGGTTTATCAGAAACTGCGAGCTAACTTGTTAGTGTAAATTGTTGTGTAAAGGGTTGATTTCCTCGCTTTTACCGTGGCCCTGTTTCAGAACATGTGAAATGTTTTGTGGGCTGCTCAATTAATGCTTTTCATCCTTTTTTTGTGTTTTTGTTCTACGGGTTCTCTGCATATACAAGGAAGAGTATACCTGTGCGCGTGTGTGCATGGGTGGAAACTTTTTGGTTCGCTGTCAACAAGAATTTATGCCCCCCCGGTTTGGCGTGGGGGCCCGTATCCTTTTTAGCGTTTCCCGCGTGGGTGCGCACTGACCTTTTTTACTCTTTGGAGGGGGGGCGGGGGGGGGGGGGGGGGGGGTCGTCTGATGTCTGATGCGCCTTTGAACTATAAAAAAAGATAAACTAGATCCTTAAAGACTAGAAAAATGTACATGTGTTGGATTTACTACAGTGCTTTTGGACTGTTTTTCATACACTTATAGTGTGAACAACACTATTTGTAGAGGGTAAAGTTAGGGATGTAGATGCTATTGATAGCATCTACATTATCTACTATGTTCAAACTTCTGCCGGTTTTAAAGACTCACCGGCTTTCTTTCAGTCCATCAGTCCTTTCGTTTTTACCAGATGTTCTTGTACGCCACAAGCTATAATTGGATTTGGTCCACGGAGACAACGTCTTTTTAACTGCATGAATATGGTCAGTATGGATATTAGAGGGAATACGCTAACCCTTCAAGTCGCTAAAATGTCCTCTGGTACATCGCAGCTCTTCCTTCTAATGAGACATCAGTCTGTTTGAGCAGTAGACTTACCAGGATTCCCCGCTGCTAGACGTCTCTGGGGACTTGGGCTTGTGGGGCCGACTGCTTTGAATCACTGACTGTGATAATACCACCGCATGAATACCAAAGACCCCATGAAGAGAAGAAATGCATTTTTAAGTTGTGAGAGTAAATTATACATACACCAGCGTCATAGATTACTTCAAGGAGTTGATGCTAGCGTTATAAATGTGCAGTTTCCCCTAATTCTTTTATAAAAACACGTGCATAATTAAGGCATTACTTTGTAAATACGTAAGTAGCATTTTACTCGCAGTGGATACTCATCAACATATTTATATATTTAACGAGGGCTTCAGATTAAGAGTAAACTACTACAGGAAGCAAATATAGTGGCAACATGCATTATTCATATTTAATAAATATTATGTGGAGGAAATTGAACATATTATTATTGTTTTGAACAATATCATAGCCCAATGTGCATATTATGTCAAATGAAAATAGACATCAGAGGAAATATTTATCTGCTGCATCTGTCTACAGTGTTTCCCTACTGATGCAGACATCTTAATTGATTCTATTTCATCTACTAAAACTACATATACAATATTTGTATCCTTTGGTCTACTCGACGCTACGGACGCTGTAAGTCATCCATGCTGGTGGTTTCAAATGTTTCTTTTCTGACATGATTTAGTGTGAATGTATGAAGTTAAATGTGCTGCGACAAAGAAAATCTGGATTTTAGAGTTTCAATTGAAAGCACTCGCTTCTTTATCCATTAATAAAATAATTAAAACATAATGAATGTATGAGCCTTTGGAAGTGGAAAGATTATACTGTTTAGTGATGTTGGCAATGCTTTTAAAATTCTGTCGACCAAATTCACCCCGAACATAAGTTAATGCTTCTAATGTAAGTCTGCTTGATCTCAAGCTTTTCTATAAACATAGAGAAAGGGGTGCTGATATCAGTCAAGAGATATTCAGCCACTTCACAACTAGAGATATTTTTTTTGACAATAATTGTCTTGACAATAAACAAACAATAAGAATATGTGGGGAAAGGGTTGTGGTCATCAGGACGCTGCTGTTCACTATTCATCAAATCAAAAATTATGAAATACCTGGAATACAAACCGGTATACTTACTAGTCTTTACCTGCATGCTATTGCTATAGATAATCTAATTCATAACAGTAAGTCGGCTCTAAACGTATTAGATACATTTAGTGAGGTTAAAAGTACAATATAGGATCAGGGAAAAGTAACAGAAAGTAGCATCATATAACATATTGTGAAACTCCATTCTCTGCTGCTTCAATAGTGTGCAGCAGAAGAATGAAAGCAGGTGTTGGTGCCTACTGTTACCTTTTGACGCCTGTCACCAAAAAAAAAAAAGCATCCAAACCAAAAAAACAAACCCAAAAGAAGCCTTGTTGTTTACTATCAGGTTATAATACAGAATAAAAACTGTATTTTGTGAAGTGACTTCATAAAGCAACCATACATATTTTGGTTTTCATCTTCTGTGTGTGTGTGTGTGTGTGTGTGTGTGTGTGTGTGTGTGTGTGTCGTGCCGCGTATCTATTGGACGTGTCTTGTGCACACAGTACTCTGACCATCTTACCCACTGTGAGTGTAAGGCCACAGATGGCGGCGCTCCACTTAAATTGTTGCCTGGGACATTGGCAACAATATTGCAGCTGACAGACCCCACCAGGTAATCAGCACCTCATCTACTGTTCCCGGATCAATCCCTCCCCGGGCTACACGGCTGCCGCAGAGGCTACTTCCACCGGTTTCACACTGATACTGACTAATATAAAAACAGCAACTGCAGAAAAGGGGATGACCACGTGCATCGCGTTGGTAGTCTGCTTCCGTTTCTTGCCTTGTGACACGGATAGATTATATTAATGAGGAATATTAACTGGAGCGTTTGATGCTCCTGCTGCTTTGCAGGTGCTTGTCTGCACAAGATGGGACCAGAACATCTGGAGTGTGCACTGCACTGTTCTTCTTAGGAAATAGGATTCACACTTATAAGTGGTGACTTGGTGATATGAGGGAAAAGACCAAAGCCCCTCCCGACCCTATACACACATTATACTTTCTTTGAACATCTCTATGAGCCAAATAATTAATCTGAATGAATGTTCGGTCCCGTAGCTTTTAGCCCCCTTTGTCTCAATTCAAAAGCTGTCACTGCTTAATTTACCCTTAACTTTCTCTCCATCCAAAAAGGATGAAACGGTATCTGTGTGTCTGCTAGAGAGGCGAAACACCGCTCAATGATTCAAATGTGTCAGAAGTGGTCATGAATATTTAGGCCCAGTTTAATGTCCAGGTGTTGCTTTGGGCAGGTTAAACAACAGAAAGATTACAGACCCGCATTGTGGTAGGATGCTGTTCAGGTTGGATTTATGAAGTTGGGGGTCCACTGGACAACCAAAGAACCCCGTTGGACTGAGGTTGGGAGTCAGTGGTACAGCCCGATCCCTGGAGCCAATAAGAGATCTGTGCTGACCTACACACAAACGCATTAACAAAGAAACACAATTACTACCCATTTTAACTTGGGTCAAATGCTTGCAACTTAAACAACATTAATGTGCAGCTCTTTAAGTGCAACATAATTTTTACTTTAGGTCCCCTTAGTTTTTTCTATCTAAAATACAGACACTCCACCCACTATCCTCTCTGCCGCCATCTCTCCTCTCTACTCTGATTCAGTGTTTTGCTGCATCGTGAGGTAACGCTCCTTCATTTAAAGTAAAAGTGAATCTGTTGCTTTTCTTTTGAGTGAGAGTTACATTCCAAGATGGTTTGGAGTCTTAACTTACTTATTGAGATGACTTTATTAGGAGGCGAATGAACTCTGTAGGGCGGCTCCACGCGGCCGGACAGAAGCTGCTGCTGAATAGGGCCATCAGACAGAGAGAGTTGATTCCTCGTGAATACTGAACAAATATAAAAAACCTTCTTCGTGCCCAGTCTTGTCCAGTTATTATTGTGAGGCAATCATAAGCTCGCTCACGTATCAGCGAGCTCGCCCACATGTCCAGACACTCTGCCTGCTGTGTTTGCATGTAACTTGTGTGTGTGTGTGTGTGTGTGTGTGTGTGTGTGTGTGTGAAGCTGTCCAAATGGAGTAAAATGGGTCTGTTGTCCAGCAGCTCAGTGCCACACATGTTGTGGAATTAGATTTTGTGACTTGAAGAGCCAACTATTCACCCGGCAAATCCTCTCTGGCGAGGGACCATTTGCCCGGTTCTGCAAAGCTTACTTAAGACCTTCTGTCTGTCAGAATTCATACCACGGGTGGTCACAGCAAAAGCAGTACCTTTTTTTTTTTTTTTTTACCTTGATGGCTATGCTTTTCTCTTGTTATGATACTTGCATTGATAAAAAAAAAACGTGGATGGTTAGATCGTGTGATTAGTATAACAAGACAGCAAAAATAGATGTTCAGATCCTTTTTTTATTGTACTTAACGTAGGTGATGCATTAATAGTTAGGTCCATGGAGAAAAAATGCATCTAAATACTGTGAAATTAAAATAAATGCTAAATAAATCCTTAATTCGTTCTTGATTTGTTCATTCTTGATTTGTTAATTTCATTAGCTTCAGATTTCATGCACTGCTGCACATCATTGCATGACATAGTTTTAATTTCCTTTTAATCATACAGAAATCATTGTTTAAAGTTTTATCAACTTCAAAATAAAGCTTAGCTTTAGCTTGAGGCAATGCAATCTCCTGCAATTCAAGCAATGTTTTTTAAATAAGCCAATTGATCCTTAAACGCCGCTTGGTGCTGTGTTTACATTCTTGAACAGATCGCTGCATGGATTAGCAAGAAAAAATATTTTCTGACTAACGTGCTTAATAAAAGTTCAGTCCCGCTCGCTTTTTTTAAGTTCGTAAGGGCTTCTCATCCGATCATAATAACAACAGTGGTGTACAGAAACCTACTAAGTGGACCTGGAACAAGCTTTCTTATCGTATTATTGTAAGGATTGACGAGAGTTGCGGGTGAGTCCTCTTTGCCTAACTCATTGGTTTTATTGCCTGAACCAAACTCCCCGTGAGGATCCCGACACGTTGAGAAGTAAA